TGCTTCGCTAGGCTCGCTGCTGAAGCTGTGCACACACAATTGATAGTGCCCTAGATTTCAGCGAAAAACTATTGCTGTCTTTCTGGGAACTGAAAGAACAGGAGGACTAATCCTCTTTATGATAAATAAAGGGCAAGCTTACCTGGCAGGGCATGAGGAGGAGGTGATCTAATGCCAAGTCATGATTTCATCAGGACGTTTCTTTGGAAATGGAAAACATTTTATAGGCTCTTCATTTTTATGGACCTTCTTGCAAGCACACGCACTCACGTGCGACTACACCAAACATACGAAAAGATCAGCAAATGGGAATGTATTCCCTCCATCTCCAATAATCCATGTGGATTTTATTATAGCTGTAAAAACAACCAAATGCTGGGAGAAATCCTGAACACAGAGAAGGCTCTCGTGATGTCTCTTTTATTTGGCCTGATTTGTTGATAGGAAGCTTTAAAAACCAAAGACATTCTCCAGCTACACTCGGGGCTTAGAACAAATGTGCTAGAGCAGTCCAAAGCTCCATCTGATGGCCCAGCATTTTGTAGACACTGTTGATCCATCCAGATGTGCCATCTGGAAAACGCACAAGCAGAACCATAGAAGGGCTGTAGCTCAGTGGTAGAACATCTGCTTTGCATTCAGAAGGTCCCTAGCTCAAGGCAGGACAGGGAGAGACCCCTGTCTGTTATCCAGGAGAGCTGCTGCCTGTCAATTGGGGCAGTATTGAGTTAGACAGACCAGTGGTATACATCTGCCTTCCTGTGTCGCTGTGTCATGAAGACAATAGCCTCAGCTAGGGATGCAACGATCCGACAAATTTAGGTCTCCCGATGTCTCATTTTTCCAATCTTAAATTCAGTTATCCACATTTTGCAGCAATTACATGCAAATTTGAATACATTTTTTATATGCAGTTTTGACTAAAGCACACATTTTTGCAATCCGTTTCTCCTAATGTACTGTTAACCATTTTTATGCACATTCTCCTCTAAAATATGCATTTTTCTGAACTTTGATTGGAAAACTGCATTGCAAAATTTAGATAATTGCAAATTTTGAAGGATAGTACTGTTGTGGGACGCGGGTGGTGCTGTGGTCTAAACCACAGAGCCTAGGGCTTGCCTATCAAATCCCCGCTTTGAATCCCCGTGATGGGGTGAGCTCCCGTTGCTCGGTCCCTGCTCCTGCCAACCTAGCAGTTTGAAAGCACATCAAAGTGCAAGTAGATAAATAGGTACCACTCCGGTGGGAAGGTAAATGACATTTCCATGCGCTGCTCTGGTTCTCCAGAAGTGGTTTAGTCATGCTGGCCACATGACCTGGAAGCTGTACGCCGGCTCCCTTGGCCAGTAAAGTGAGATGAGCGCCGCAACCCCAGAGTCGTTTGCGACTGGACCTAACGGTCAGGAGTCCCTTTACCTTTACCTTACTGTTGTGGTTTGTGTATTGTTTCAGAAATTGGAAATTTGATAGATTCAACTTTAAAAGCTATTGAATCACATTTGTCCTCCATCTCTAGCCTCAGCTAATGGCATAAGTTTCATTTAGCTGGTATGGCTACTTAACTACCATTAGATTTATGCTGCACAAATTTGCCTAACCCCCTTCTTCAGACCTTCGTCAAGCAAAATTGTTCAGAGCAAATTGGATATCAAACAAGTGGACTGTGCTTATATGCATCTATGTTGAGCGACTGCATTAGGTACAGGGTGGGCAGATTTCAAACTTGTGAAGTTGCTGATCTTCCACAAAAATATGAAATTTGTACCTAAGATCAGCCTCTGTACCTGAGAACTGGAAAGGGGTCAATGGAACAATTATTATTATTATTATTATTATTATTATTATTTTAAAGGGGGAAAACTGCAAAAACTGCAAACTTAACATCTGTTCTGGGGAAACTTGTGGCAAATATTATTGAATATATAATTACTAAGCATATAAAAGTACAAGCATTGCTGAAGAAGAACCAGCATGGCTTTTGTAAGAGTACAACATGTCTCATTGAGTTTCTGGAGTTAACAACCACATAGTTAGGGGTTATTCAGTCAACTCCGTGCACTTAGACTTTCAAAAAGCTTAAAGTAGTCTTTCACCAGAGCTTAGCAGTCATGGGTTACTGCAAATCACTGTATGTAGGGCTTCCCTTGCACTTCATCCCGAAGTTGCAGTTAGTGCAGAATGCTGCAGCACAATTGCTGACAAGGAAAGCATTTCCCCCCTTTCCTTGTTCAATGTCTTTCCCAGTTGTGATTTTGTGTGTACAAAAAGTGAATACAGTGGAACCTTAGTTCCCAAACAACTTAGTTGATGAACAAATTAGCTCCCGAACACCACAAACCTGGAAGTAAGTGTTCCGGTTTGCGAACGTTTTTTGGAAGCCAAATGTCCATTTTGGCCATCAGCATTGTTTCTGGGGCCAATCAGCCAATCAGAAGCTGTGCCTTGGTTTTCGAACGTTTTGGAAGTTGAACGGAATTCTGGAACGGATTGAGTTCCAGAACTAAAGTACCACTGTATGTTTATGAGATCTCAAAAAAATGTATCTGAGAAATGTCATTCCATTGATTAACGCAAGAATCACAGTTTCTCACAGGGTAAGTTCTCCCATCCCTTGCACACTTACATACAAAGCAAGTTACAAAAATAAAATACCATGCAAAAGCAAAAGCATGGAAATTGCTAATAAAATCCCGTAATAGGTCACACTTAATAGGTCACAAACTGACTCCATTGACAAACACCTTGTTGGATGCAATGTGGAAATCCTACCAGCACTGTTTGATCTGAGATGGCTCATTCATGCATACATGTTGCCACTTGATGCCGCAGCCATCAAGAGACAAACATGCAGGTAGGAACCAGCCTCTCCCAACTTGCTGTGCTGGGGAATAAGTATTCAAGATGCCATTTTCGGTGCCTGCTGCACTTGTTGAAGATCGCAAACCCTGATGCTACAATGGTTTCTACAGAGCCATCAGCATTATTGCGCTGACTCAGCACGCCGAGTCAGTATTGCCAGGTAGCAAGGGATGTTGTTGACAGATGCTGCTCAGCTGTATCACGTGAAGGTGCGCAGCGCTGAACTGTGTGGGGAAGAATTGTATGGGGCAGAAACAATGCACAACTTAGCTGTGCGAGAAAGCGTTCTGGGATGGAAAGGATCCAATCTGATAGGCAGCACAGCAAGAAAAGAATGTTGCTTTAGCAAGGACATAACCAGACACCTAGGGACGCGGGTGGCGCTGTGGGTTAAACCACAGAGCCTAGGACTTGCTGATGGTGTTTCCTGCTTGGCAGGGGGTTGGGCTCGATGGCCCTTGTGGTCTCTTCCAACTCTATGATTCTATGATTCTATGATCAGAAGGTCGGCGGTTCGAATCCCCGCGACCGGGTGAGCTCCTTTTTCTCGGTCCCTGCTCCTGCCAACCTAGCAGTTCGAAACCGCGTCAAAGTGCAAGTAGATAAATAGGTACCGCTCCGGCAGGAAGGTAAACGGCGCTTCCGTGCACTGCTCTGGTTCGCCAGAAGCGGCTTAGTCATGCTGGCCACATGACCCGGAAGCTGTACGCCGGCTCCCTTGGCCAATAAAGCGAGATGAGCTCTGCAACCCCAGAGTCGGCCACGACTGGACCTAATGGTTAGGGGTCCCTTTACACTTTACCTAACCAGACACCTTGTGTATTTGTGTTGCAAAGCAGCCCAGGGCAGCAAATGTCAAGTGCTAAAACATCTTAACATTTCCAGGACAGATGCAGAATGGGAAATAGTTCAGCTTAAATGGCTTGTTGGAGGAGGAAGCAGGAGCCAAAAAGGCTGGAGAGATGGTGCCTGTCTAACATGGAAAGGCAACGGTGAAGCAATGGGATGCCCTCTCGCAGCTGCCACTGCTGCCACCACTGCTCAGGACAAGCGCTGGCTCATCCTCCTCCCTGAGCTCAGCAGCAATGGCAGTGGCGGGGGAAATAGGGGCATCCCAGAATCAAATGAGAAGCTGGGGTGGCTTCCATAATTCGGGGTCCGTCCCTGGGAAATAGGGACACTAGAAGCATATGGAAGCTTTCCCCATAATTGTAGAAAAGGCTTGTCCTGTTTTTAATTTTGAAGACACGAAAGCTTGGCTTTCCCCCAGCGCCAGCCCTAAGCCATATTAAGAACTCAGGTTAGATCAAAAACAACAAAAAAACATTTGTGCAACTTGATAATAACTTTTTAAATGGAAAATATTAAAAATGAGCACCTGTTGGTCACAACTCTGACATCACTCATAGGCTAAAATGACTGAAAAATGGGACCATGCAGTCTGGCGCATCTCACAGAAATTGCTTTGATGTTTGCCTGGACGTTTTTGCTTCATAGCTTCTCGTTCAAGAGACCTAAAGACTAGTTTAAAAAGGGGGTAGTGGTGGTGGAATCTGGGCCTCCCTGCTTGCTGAAGATCTGATACATCAGTACGCTCTGTAGCCACTTCTCAGTAGCCCTGCGTTCACAATGTAATAAACATAGGTAAAAGGTAAAGGACCCCTGGATGGTTAAGTCCAGTCAAAGGTGACTATGGGGTGTGGCACTCATCTTGCTTTTCAGGCTGAGGGAGCCGGGGTTTGTCCACAGACAGCTTTCTGGGTCATGTGGCCAGCATGACTAAACTGCTTCTGGCGCAATGGGAGACTGTGACGGAAGCCAGAGCGCACAGAAACGCCGTTTGCCTTCCCACCGCAGTGGTACCTATTTATCTACTTACACTGGTATGATTTCAAACTGCTCGATTGGCAGGAGCTGGGACAGAGCAACAGGAGCTCAGCCCGTCGTGCAGATTTGAAACACTGACCTTCCGATCGGCAAGCCCAAGAGGTTCAGTGGTTTAGACCACAGCGCCACCCGCTCCCTTAATAAACATAAACATAGTTCCAGCACCTCTCAGGTGGGCACCATTGCCCTTATAAGAGAACAAGGGAGGTGTTCATGGTGAGTTCCTGCACCTCTTTGTCTAGAAAAATAGCCCTGAACATAGTGAAACTGTGGAACACACTCCCAGGGGAGGCAACAATAGCCACTAACTTGGATGGATTTAATAGAGGGTTAGACAACTTTGTCAAGGACAAGGCTACTGGTGACTACTAGCCACAAAGGCCATGTTCTGCCTCTACTATCAGAGGCGATATACTTCTGAATACCAGTTGCTCAGAATCATAGGTGGCCAGAATGTTGGTGCAATCAGGTCCACTTTGCCGGCTTCCCATAGGCATCTTGTTTGCTGCTGTGCGAACAGGATGCTGTGTGAAATGGACCACTGGCTTGATCTAGCAGGCTCATCTTATGTCCTTAATTCGGGGCTTTCCAAAAGCTCTTTGCCAGGTCTCCTCTCATTTACTTCACACAGTGTTCTCCCAGAGAGGATTTCCAGGAAGCTGGCAGATAGTTCAATAAGAGAAACAAGCTGTCGAGAGTGAGGGTTCAGAGCTGAGGGTTAGCCAGCCCGCCCTGGAGATATTCAAATAAAAGTCTCCCTGAAATGTGAGAATCCGAGCATGGAGAGAATTAAGCTCCAGAAAAGCTGAGGAAGGATCACGGCTGTCGTCTTGGCTCTGTCTTCATGTGTGCAGATTGGGAAGTCACCTCACTTGCCTTTTCTTTACAGAGGAAAAGAGAAAGAGAGAGAGAAATATTTGACCCTGCTTCAGATTTCTGACTGCAGTTTCAAACCCTCCTCCTTTCCCCATTTAGCTGAATATACCAAGTAAACACTCCCCGGCCCGCCAAGATGCCCATTTTCTGCTGAGTTGCAATCTGACTAATTATGGCTCTGGACCAAACTCTCATATCTGGAATTCTTCCCCTGCAGAGTGATGGCCAGTGTTCTACGGACAAGACCTCCTCCTCTGCTGTTGCGAGAATCTTGGCCGCTTGCCATTAGTAGAGAGTGAGATGCCAGATTAACTGTTATCGGATGCATTTGGCCAGGACAATGGACTTCTTGTGGTCAGCAGGGCAATTCCAGAGACAGAGTGTTGGGGGAGGCGGAGAGAGAGAGAGGCACTGCTTGGGTCTAGATTCTTAGAAATTGTTTTCTGGAAAGGAGGCCGTAATCATGAGAAGATCTGCCCTGATGGACCAGACAAAAGGCTGGTCTAACTTAAAAGCAGAGCTGGGACTGGGGAGAAGTGTCTTGCAAATGGGGATCAAGGGCTAGAAGCAAAAGACAGGGTCACAGAGGGCTTGAAGGTCAGGCCTGGAATGACTCCATGGGTTTCTGAGGTCAGTACTCAACTCTGTATTGAAGCCTAGAGGGCAGTCTTGATCCACAGAGGCTACATTCACATGGTCCACTTAAAGCACCATGTTACCACTTTAGACGACCATGGCTTTCCCAAAAGAATTCAGGGAGTTTGCCAAGAGTACTGAAAGTTGTTAGCAGACCCCTGTTCCCATTACCGAGGTACAGTTCCCAAAGTTCCCAGTGAAGAGGGTTTGCTTGTTAAACCAATCTGAGAATTGTAGCTCTGTGGCGGGACCACTGTGGCAACGTGGTCACAGTGCAGGTCCTCTTCCTGACACCTCACCCAGGATGCCTTGCTCTGAGAAAGGGTCCCCTCAAAGTGGAGGGAGGCAGAGTCTAGTGATGGCACAACAGCAACAAAAGAAATATAAAGAGGGGTGGGGAGAAATAGGAATAGCCATCTGGAGAGCGACATCAGTAGTGGGAACAAAGACCGGGATGCTGTTAAAGCAGCTGTCCTCTTCAGGCTTCTTTATGCAAAATATCTCTGCCTCTGTAAAGTCAGTTTGTTGATGGGGGCCACAGGCACTAAAGGATCAGTGGTGGTTCCAAACAACTGAAATGCATGTCACACCCACTTTCTGGAGGTGGGATAGAGATCTCAAACTAGCTTTGCATGAAAGTGTGTGCAAGTAGAGCCGAAAAGCAGCAGATTTTGGATATGGATAAGAATTCTAAGGTCTCAAATAAATAATAAATATTCATAAATACTCACATACCTAAATATATAAACCATGAGTCTGAAATAGTACAGGAGAGTGATCCTGAAGCCATTTTGACTCTCCTAATGATCTCAAATATTCCTCTGCAGTAAGGGAGGCAAATGGGGAAAGCCTTCCCTTTTTCTTTTCCATCTACAAATCCTGTCTTAGGGGCGTCTTTGTGTATGAATAGGGTGAGCCTGTGGGATGCATTCAGGACATCATTAACCATCACAAAAGAATGGCCAAGCTGCCCAGGTAATCAGCGAGCATTATCAGGTATCCTGGCAGACAGGATTTCTGCTGCAGACCACCTCCTATGATGTATGAATGATGATTTTGGGGTGGTCTTTGGCTAAGGGGGTTGGGCAATGTCAAAAGTCTTTAAAGGTTCCTGCACACTTTTGTTCAGGGTCTCTCCCTCCTTGGAAGGAGGGGAGGGAACACTGTTGCAACAGAAAAATAAATATCTGCCTTGCTTTCCACTGGATCCAGTCTCCATCCATTTTTCTCTGACCGATCATGGACCTAGGGGACTCAGAGTCCCATGGGGAGTTGGGCAGCAAAAGCCAAACCCCAATTTTTACATCAATTTGGAGAGCTGGTACAAGATTTTAGTTTGGACCAAGCAAGGTGTATCTGTGTGCTTGCTTCTGCAACCTGCAGTAAACACTACATTTATTTGTATTTTACAAAAGCACCATTGGCTGTGACTGCCCTTTCCTTTGAAGAAAGCTTAATTCTTAAAGCTGGGATGGGGGTTCCACCAAATGCTTTTTGGATTCCAACTCCTATCAAATGTAATGAGCAGGAACAGTGGTCAGAGAGTATGGGAGTTGTAGTCCAACAACCTTTGGATCCTGTACATGCTTAAAAGATTGTCCTGAATCGCCACTGTTTGAAGAACGAGATCACATGAATCAATATGAAACTGAGCACCACCCTTGGAGCTGCCTAACAAGCCATACATTTTATTACACTTGTCTGCGTGCAGCAAATCCATATCTGTGCAGGTTAAAGCCAAGCATGGTCACTTGATCTGCTTGGCAGATACTCTGAACTGATGCAATCTTGCACGATACAGGAGGCTTTCCTCCCCTGAGGCCCCAGGATTGGGTCAGATTCAAGGTGTGAGGCCTAGGTCACCAGAGAATGCTTGGGCTATATCACTGCCCACGCCAAATAAGCCTAAGGCTTAGGTCCTTTTGTAATTGGGCAGTTCGTGTGCCTGATCTTCTGCCAGTTCTCTAGCAGAAATGATGATTTCACAATAGACTTCTCTCCCCCGCATGTGAAACCCTGCTAATCTGGAAATCACCCCTCAATCAGCTTTCATCTTATAGCTGGATGCTGTAGAAGCAAGCAGATTTTCGAAATGCCATTGGGAAGTTAAGTGCAGGCAGACCAAGTCACGATTATCTGGGTTGAAGCTGAAGAAGCCAGAAGATTATCTTAGAAGGCAACATTTCCTTTTAAATAAGCAGTTCCGTTTAAATAATGCCCAAAGTGAAACAAAAAATGGGCTCTGTGCATGAATCTAGAAATTACAAGTCTATGCACTGGAAGTCCTGCTGTGCCCTTTCCCCCTGCCTGAGAACTGGCTACAGGGTGTCTTGGGGGCGGCAACAGAGTGAAGGGAAGAAAGCACTTCTGATAGCGTAGGGCTGCCATACACCTGGAATTTCCAGGACATAGCCAGGATTCACCCATCAAAAATTCTGGGCAGAATTTTCCGAAGTCCCTTGAAATGTTCAGGAAAACCCGGGTGTACGGCAGCCCTGCTCTATCAGAAGTGAAGCCCTGATAATTTGCAGAGTATTTTCACCCCTTCAGGTTCCTTCCTTCGGAGACCTACCAACCCCTCTAGGAACATGGGCGGCTGTCTCTTAGAGAGTCAGATCATTGGTCCCTGTAGCTCAATATTTTCTATGCAAACAGGGACCTGTTCCTCTGGATGGTTGATTCTCTCCCAGCCATATCCGGAGATGCCATGGATTGAAGATGCTTCTGCTAGGTTGGCCACTTGTTCCTTATTTAGTGTTAAAATTTAAGTATGACTAAATAAGGAGCCACTTACTGGAATAGGGAATAGGTGACAAGCCTAGTTTCCTCCCCGACTCCACCCAGATTTTCCTTCCATTGGACTGTATGTTGACATTAGGGATGCACCAACCAAGTATCTCTGGGGATATTTCCTGAAGGCTACGAGTCCCATACTCAGTGGGGCTGTTGGGAAGCTCACCACAGTGAAATGATGCATTTTACTATCTAAAGGAGAAAGGCTGCAAGCCCATTAAACCCAAAGTCTCAAATTACCTAACACTGGCTGTGTTGCATGAAGCAGATATGCTCTTCAATATTTGCCCCTTCTAAACCATTGTTTCATTCCACTCTCGCACATCGTATCTGAAATATACTCAGAGTCCTGTAGTGATTTCATGCTCTTTATTGCAGCTTGTAAAACAGTGATTGAATTGCTCCCCAAACCTCTGGCTTTTATATACATTATTTACACAATGAGTCCTGTCTGACTGGCTGATTCTGCTTCTCTCCTGGAGCCTGATTGGTCTTTTCCTGCAGGCCAATCAGTTGTTGCATTCTAGGATCCGACTTGCCTATTGTTCTAGGATCCAAGCTTAGTACATAACAATATCCACAACTGACTTCGCAAGAAGTTCCCTGCTGAAGCAGACCAATGGGCCATCTAGTCTAGCATCCATTCTGCCAGTCGGATGTCCCCTGGGAAGGCCACAAACAGGGCTTGAAGACAATATCCCTCCCGCTGCCCCCCCGCAACTGGTATTCAGTGGTGCATCATTCAAAAGGACAGAACCACTTTAATTGCAGATCCCTGCTGCCGGGTGTGTGTGACTGAGAACACTGTTCTCTCTCTCTCTCTCTCTTAACCAGCACGTTTGTAAATAGGCATTTATCTTTCACAAACGAACATTTCAAAAATGTTGCAAAACTGCTCTGCGAAGGGCAGAGATGGCCAGTGGGTTCCTCATTTAAAAGATTAGTTCTGGCTTAACTGCAGTTTGCAAATGACAGGTCTAAACTGTGCAGATATGATTTTTTTTTAAAGCAGCACATGTTCCTTTATCATTCACATTATTATTATTTTTATTGGGGGGGAAACAGACCTTAATTACTATGGCCATCCAGTCGGAACAGGGAGTCCTTGTAGGCCAAGGCTTCTTCTCTCGGTTCCTGAAGGGAGAGCTTAGAATGTTTTGGAATATCTTCTGATAAGATTTGGAATGACGTGTTCCTGGTGATGCAGCCTTGTTGGTTTAAGCATGAATCATTAACAGTGGGCAAAGTGTGACAATGGATAGCCTGGCTTAAAGCCAAACCAAAGATAAATTTCATTCTCCAGGGAACATAGTGGCCCACCTTTGAAAGGGCAACTGGCCGCCAGGAAAACCAATGATTCAGGTGGCAGCCACGTGGTATGCTTTCTCTGCAGTTAGAGACTGTCTAACTTCAACTTTCTAGATTTGTCCTAAAAGACTACTGTCTCCAGGGCTGATTACCCAGCTCATTCTCCAATATTAATGTAGATTCCAAAGAGGTATACCAAGCAGAAACCATTGGGATTTCATTTGGATTCCCCATTCACAGCAAATAAGACCACAAATCCTCTGAGTTGTATCACTGCTGGCTAACCCTGCTAAGCCCACTCAGGCTGAGCTGAAAATTCTCTGCTGGCTCAAATGAGAAGAATCGAGGGAACAATTTCAATGGGATGGAGGAGAAATTTGTTCAGTTTGCAGTTAATGTGAGTCTACCCTTTTAATACCTTTTAATACAAACTTACCCAATTAGCATTTCCTGAGCCAAAAATGTAAACCAAAATGCAGCTATTCTTCAAAGCTCACTCTTTTTGCAGTACAGTTCTTCAACCAGAAATGCATACAAAGAAGCATATATTAGGTGAAAGTGTGCGGAACAATGCACATATTAGTTCAAACAACATATAAAAATGTATTATATTAGGAGAAACTGCTTGCAAAAATAAGTATATGAAGCAGAATGTTACAACAAAAATGTAGTTTTCGACAGGTTTCACATTCCTTCCAAATCACCAAGATGCCCCCCCCCTTTTCCACCTGCAAATAGGGCAACAAAACTAGTTTATTTCTGTCACTGCTGTCAGTCTTCTGGCCAATAATGCCTCTCTTTGAGGAAGGACCCCATTGGCCCTTTCTTGAGGTGAGGCAGGAACCTGGGAGAGGTGGCAAACCAAACCAAAAGGTTAGAGAAGGAGACGAAGACAAATGGAGGTTTTTTGAGGTGGCAGAGGGAGAGAGGTCAGCGGAGATAAAACGAGGACATCGTAGCAGGGCCATGTCCCTGAACAGGAGGCATTTCATAACAGCTCTGAAGAAAACACCTTTCCTACAACATAGCATGTCACTGAGGAGGCTAGGGCGCTCCATTAACCCTGACAGATTAGTTTTCTACATGCAAGGTTTCTTTGTTAATGTGGGGACCACTCAGATATGCAATACTTTCTCTGCAGGGCTAGCCCAAGGCAATTTGTTGCCGGAATCAGAGCAGCAAATGGCATCCCTTCCCAAGTCACTTAGGACAGTTGTGGCAGAGAAAAGTGCCTGGCAATTAAAACACGGCACTAATACAATTAATATCTAACAGCTTGCTGTAAAACACAGAAGCTGAGGCAGCCAATTCAAAAGCTTTAGCCTGGGAGGTCTGGCATCAGCAGGCAGAATCTCTTCTCACTTACTGGGTCCTCAGAAGGGTCTGCCACCGAGAACTGCACTGCGTTCTCCTTAAGTCACTGTTCCAGCCTGGCAGCTGCAAGATGGCTGAGTCAGGGAGCCACCATTTTTATTTCCCACAATGCTCATGATGCACGGTTGCTCTGGGGCACAGCGAGGAAATAAAAATGGCAGCTGCTGTGGCCATCAACACCAGAGACAATCCCAGTGTAGGGGGCATTTTGTTGAGGGGCCCCCTAACCCTGGTCCCAATGCAGTGTGCAACTCCACACTGCAATGCAAACATGTACAGTGGTACCTCGGGTTAAGAACTTAATTTGTTCTGGAGGTCCGTTCTTAACCTGAAACTGTTCTTAACCTGAGGTACCACTTTAGCTCATGGGGCCTCCTCCTGCTGCTGCACTGCCGCCACATGATTTCTGTTCTCATCCTGAAGTAAAGTTCTTAACCCGAGGTACTGTTTCTGGGTTAGCAGAGTCTGTAACCTGAAGCGTCTATAACCTGAAGCATCTGTAACCTGAGGTACCACTATACAGAAGGTTTCTGTGTGACATTGAAATTACCTGGAATAGACATGAATATGTGGAAGGGTAGAAGGATCTACTTGTGCTTCAGACACAGCTCTTCCCTTCATAGGGGGAGGGAGCTGTGGGCTTGGCCAGTTCTCAGGGCTGTCTTAAGCATTTGCGGTGCCGGGGTGCAAAGACCCCCCCCCCCCAGTTTGCCCAGTCCCAGGCATGCAGGAGGGCGGATCTGGCCGGCCACCTCAGTGTCTCACTAGCTCAGTCGCCCCCGAACTCGTGGCGCAGAGCCGCCTGCAGCAGAAGAGCCCGCCGTGGTGCCCCTTCCCCGGACTCAACTCTCGAGGCCACGGACTCTTGGCCTGGCACCCCTGGAAGTCCGGCGCCCGGGTGCCCCGCACCCCTAGCGCCTATGGGTAAGACGGCCCTGCCAATTCTGTTTGTCAGAGGGTGGGAGGTGTAGGAGAGACTAAATCTCTCCCTGCCCACCACACACCAGCCCTAAACAGACCCCCCTTTCGACAACAGCTTTAGGCTGCCAGGATCTCTGAAAGGGGGGTGTACCAAGCCGTGGCCAATCCTCTTGAACTCTACCACCATCCTTCTGCGTCTGCAGTTTTGGCCTCGGTACACAGTATGGGGGGTGTAAACCCCGTGCGATTTGCTGATTTGGTCATCTCGGGAAAGAGGCTGTGTCAGTGTTTGAACTGATCTGGTGCTGCTGTCAGCAGTCACAAGATGGACACTGATTACGCACAGAATGTAAGCATGTCAAGTCACCGACCCTGCTCTAGTAAACCTTGCTACTTGCTCTCATTTGCCACGAGGGCAGGAAACCCACACTTTGACTGGGGGGAAAAGTGGAGTTTCCCTTTGTGCCAACCGTAGGTCCTACTAGAAGATAGAAAGGATTACTAGAGAAAGAAAGAAAACCTCCTGCTGCCTATTCATGATTTTCACTTAGGAAGTCATGCAATCCATGAAAATCATCAAAGAAGCTGAATGGAAGGCTTGCCCTCCCTTCCCTCATGTTATTTTTTTAGATTGTGAGCTTATGGGCTATACATTTTATGCATTTTAGAATGCTTCTGTAAATAAATGTGTACAGTGGTACCTCGGGTTAAGTACTTAATTCGTTCTGTTCTCACCCTGAAGCAAAGTTCTTAACCCGAGGTAATATTTCTGGGTTAGCGGAGTCTGTAACCTGAAGCGTATGTAACCTGAAGCATATGTAACCTGAGGTATTACTGTATCCTGAAACATTTCACAGATGAAAGTGGGGACATTCTGGCACACTTAGGTTCTTGCATACCCTGCAAGTGTCCCGGAAGAACCAGGACAACCCGTATTTTCCCCATGAGAGCACGGCAGCCATTTTGGGTGCCATGATATTACACAATTACAAACCAAGATGTTGGTGCTTTTTTCAGGACTGCAATCTCGTGCAGTGCCCCGAAACATGTGCTGGGGCACCGTGAGAGTACAGCCCCAAAGAAAGCTTTTTTTTTTTTGCTCTGTGATCTTGTGTGGGTTTCATGACTTGCTTAGGAGCACGGACAGGAAGACACACGTCCTGGTTTGGGGATGCAACATGTTGGAGGGTATGTATCTTGTACCAGGGCTCACATGCTGAGCTGTTGTATCATTTCCCCTGCTCTTGATCCTCTTTGTGACTTTTTTTTTGGTCCCCTGATGCAAAATCCAAACTTTACAAGACTTTGGCAATGTGAAACAGGATAGTGTTTCTTAGTATCTGTGCCATTAATGGAACAATGTGACTTTGCCGATTGCTCCATGGATATTCTCTCTGACAATTAACCCAGGCATCAAAGCATTACAGCGATACAAAGCATTACATAACAGATCTTCCATCTTCATTTTATTTTTTTTTAATAAAAATGCTTTTTTTTTAAGGTTGCGTTTCACAATAGCACAACCCAAGGCATGTTGTTAATAGGCCAGCACTGCAATTTGCCTGGCATGTACTGTTGCCTAATTATTTATATTGCTAATTATAAACAGGGATAATCTAACATAATCTCATGAGAATCAAGATTTAAGAAACACCCTGCGCTAAATCACAAGGAAGAAAAAACACTGGATTCAAAGAGGGTAGGAAAAACAAACAAAAAACACTTCCTACAAATCCTTTCAGTGCACTGGAATTTCTATCTAGAAGGGCTGCAGTCTGGGCTGTTTTGCCACTAGAGAGCTGTCTAATGCAACTGAACTAAAATTTTGTGACGGAGCAACAGAACACAATAATATCCACACCATATAGCCCTTTAGGGACTGTACCATGTCAGAATGTAAGTAGGGGATTGCAGAATTAATGCTCTTTGCAATCTGCCCCCTCAAGCCATTGTAAGAGGAAAATCATACAGCAATGAAAGGGGTTTCACAACCTTCCATTTACCCCCAATGCGCAGGGTGCATGTTTATACATGTGCACATCCCACACCCACTTGCCCACCCACACATGTGCTTTGCAATGCGCCAAAGGTAACAATGTTTTTCTTATGGAACTTAGATTTATAACCACCGATCCAGTGTGGTGTAATGGTTAGATTGTCAGACTAGAACCCGGGGGACCATGGTTCAAATCCCCACCCAGATATAAAGTTCACTGGGTGACCGTTGAAGCAGCCACCAACTCTCAGCCTTGCCTACCTCACAGGGATGCTGTGAGTGATAAAACGGGGAGGGGGACAACCATGCAAGCCACTTCGAGAACCTTGGAGGAAAAGTGAGATGGGAATATAGCAATGGCAGCAATAATAAGAGAGCCCAACGTAGGGAAGGCAACATCAAGTGCTTTTTGTTAGTGCTGCAGCTATACCATTTGCTATGACAGGAGGATGCTATAAACTGTACCCTAAGTGGATTCTTTGAATCTGTTAGGAATTTTGTACAAAGCTGTGCATTTAAAAGTGAACCCACCTATTTAGCGTTTTCCAAAACAATATGCAAACCAATACTTAGCCATCTTTCAAACTTTCTCCTGTTTTGAATTTTACAGGGCAGCAATGTGTACGAAAATACATAAAACACACCGATTTCACAAAAATAGCACACAAAATGCACTACATATGGGGAAATGGTTTTGCGAAAATGTTTACAGTCGTACCTTGGAAGTCGAATGGAATCCATTCTCGAAGTCCGTTCGACTTCCACAACGTTTAAAAACCAAAGCTCCTGCAGCCAATCGGAAGCTGCGGAAGCCCCGCCAGATGTTCAGCTTCCAAAAATAGTTCGTAAACCAGAACAGTCACTTCCAGGTTTGTGGCATTTGGGAGCCAAAACATTTGGGAACTAAGCTGTCCAAAAACCTAGGTACGACTGTATATTAGGCAAAATTGATTTGCAAAAATGTGTATCTTAGGATGAATTCTCACTAAAATGCTGAATAATTTTCATAAGGATTTTTTAAAAAATGCTTGTCCCTTCTTTGTTGGATGTTAACCTTGGGAGAGTTGAAAGTAAAGTGAGTTTACTATGACAAAAAAAACCTGGATGTCTTCTCCATCAGCCCACCACTTTCCACCTTTATTGGCAGCAATGAGGTCCAGAATGGCATTAGGGTGTGGGGTATCTTTGAATCTCTGTCATGTGAAACATGTTCATCTGGCGGGCTTATATTCCAAAGCAGAGAAAAAGAACTATGGCCCCTAAAATGTACCACTTGTCCCAAGTTTTGCAATTTCCTGCACCTTTCATCATCGGCAGACTTTGGTAATATGGTGCCCTGACACTGCTGGGAGATCAGCAACAACAACCTCCCAAGTGCTTTGCCCTCTGCCAGTCCCCTCTGCTGCCTGATGGGCCCCTAAAACTGCTGCCTGGGGTGTGGTGGAGGATGTAAGCCTGTCACTGGTCTGTCTCGTCACCGGTGTCGAAGTAAGTTTCAACTGCCACTGCAGTTGGCTTCTGTATATGGAATGGAGGGTTCACCACCATCTTGCCCAGGCTTCTTCAAACTCGGCCCTCCAGTTGTTTTGGAACTACAACTCCCATGATCCCTAGCTAACAGGACCGGTGGCCAGGGATGATGGGAATTGTAGTCCCAAAACATCTGGAGGGCCAAGTTTGCCTATCTTGTACTTTGCCTCTGGCAGCAAAAAAACTTGGGGGAAATACTAGCAGGAATAAGTCAAATTAAAGGTGGTTGGCCCCTTTCCCCAGGACCAAGACTAGATTGGCTTCATTATTAGCAGGTGTGATAGTTCCAGCTGGCCACAAGAGACTCACCTCGTGCTACACCTTAGCTTTTTCTCTAAGCAGCTCCCAAGAGCCACCTGAGAATCGGTACGGAATGAGCTAGGAGACACAGGGCTGTGTCAAGTACCACTGAGGTTGCGGGGAGCTGAAAATCATAAGGATGAGGAAGAGGAAGAGGGAAAAGCCCCAAATACCTTCCCACAAGCCACCCGAAGAACTTGTCTCGCAAGACTTGAAGTGTTTGTTGTTTCCCTCAGGTCTACCCTTGGCACACATACAACAATCTGGGACTGCCACGGACCACAAGGGGGCTGAAACATTATGGTGGGGGAGAGGAATGACTCTTGTATCGCAAAAACTCCTTGGAGGTGTATGTGTTTTATGGCTACCAAGCACAAAATGAGCACTTGTGCTATGTGCCTCCAAATGGAGCTGCTCAAAAAATAAGATTAAAACACATTTAATCATGTTTTTTTTTTTAATGTAAACACACACACACACACACAACTTCTACATTGCAATTCCATGCATGTCTAATCAGAAGTACGGCCCATTGCAACAGAGCACACTGCTGGGTAAATGTGCCTTAATGGGCTAACATGTATAAGAATAATCAGGCACCATATTTAAAAATGTCTGTTTACTTATGAAGAGATATTTTAATCTCATGGAGAAAAGAATGCCTCTTACTTTCAGATGATGCCTGTCATATACAGGCTAAAAACAAAGGAAACATGCTTCAGAATGATTGGTTCTACCTGTATGCAAATTTACGCAAAGTCAATGGATATATTAAGCAGCTAAAACTCATATAATTCATTGACTTATCTGGCTGCTATCCTATGCTTGTTTGCCTGTGAGTAAGGGCAATGGGTCTTATTTCTGAGCAGCTGTGCCTCAAATTAGGTGCCAGAGTTATTTAACTCAGCGACAACCTCACATTAAAAAACTCCACCATGGATGGTATTTAGTCTCCATAAAAAGCAGAGACATCACCTTGCCAACAAAGGTCCATATAGTTAAAGCTATGGTTTTCCCAGTAGTGATGTCTGGAAGTGAGAGCTGGACCATAAAGAAGGCTGATCACCAAAGAATTGATGCTTTTGAATTATGGTGCTGGAGGAGACTCTTGAGAGTCCCATGGACTGCAAGAAGATCAAACCTCTCCATTCTGAAGGAAATCAGCCCTGAGTGCTCATTGGAAGGACAGATCCTGAAGCTGAGGCTCCAATACTTTGGTCACTTCATGAGAAGAAGACTCCCTGGAAAAGACCCTGATATTGGGAAAGATGGAGGGCACAAGGAGAAGGGGACGACAGAGGATGAGATGGTTGGACGGTGTTCTCGAAGCTACCAATATGAGTTTGACCAAACTGCGGGAGGCAGTGCTCTGGTCCATGGGGTCATGAAGAGTCGGACACGATTAAACGACTAAACAACAACAGCAATTTAGAGTAGTGGTCATTTCCTGCTAACTGTCCAATCCTATGCATAATCACTCAGAAGCAAGTCTTTGTTCACTGAAGCTCACTCAAAGAAGAGTGCATAGCATTGCTGCCTAAAAGCCAAATACTAAACTCTTCAAATGTATAAGTGGCCTTCATAGCAGTCTAAGTAAATGAGGGCTGGTGGATGTGATGTAGCTCAATTTTCTGGAGTGAGGTGCTTAGTATAACCAGATAGGTATAAGTTGTGATTAGCAACAAGGTACCAAACAACGTTGTGCTAGAGCTGCAAACGACAAAATGTGAGGCCTTAGGCGATGGATATTGAGTGCTATGCAAATTATTTAATTTGTTATAGTGCATTGTTTTAACTGCAAGGGGACGAGTGTCTCCTAGGGATGGGGGACAAACTCGATTCAGCTTGCATATTAATGCGGACATATCTAATTCTCACCTACTGAAACAATACGCAAACCAAAATGCAACAATCCTTTGAAATTCACACTTCCCCGAATTTTCAGGTGCAGCTCTACAACCAAAACAGGGCACAAAATTGGGAAAGAAGTACTAAAAACTGCACACAATAGTGAAAATGCATTCTACTAGGGTGTGTTTTATTTGCAGAGGTGTGAACATTAGGCAAAATTGCAAACAGCAGTGTACAGATTCGGAGAAATTTGTACCAAAATCCTGATAAATCTTTATGAGGATTTAAAAATAAATAAATGCAAACTGATGAAGAAATGTGGAGAAGACCGGAGGAATGAGAAACTGAGAGAAACCAAAATTTACACATCCATCTTTTCTTAATATCTTCATTTGGATTTTCTAACTCGGATGCTAACATTTCTTGCACTGGCTCTGAACTGTGGGAAACGAAAAGGGGAGAAGCAAAGACGGTCCCCCTGACTCATTGACAGTTGGTCACCAGCAGAGTGTCATGGAACACGGCTGGTTTGACAGCTGGTCTGGAAGCTCTGTGAAGAAACAGGGGATGCTGGGAAGTTTCATGGGTTCCCACATCTTCTCTGCTAGCTTTGAGCCTGGTTCTCATTCTCTGACAGGGATCTATCACCTAGTTTGATAGAGTCTGTGGACACTCTGGAGCTACATTTTGAAAGATCTGCTACGGGAGAATCCATAACCAGGAACACACTTACTTTCTCCAAGGAAACAAAGTAGGCGTTATTGGGACAGTCAAAAATGTTCTTCAGAGCTCACAGAAAAGTTTGTAGGATGTGGATTCTGTGGGTGCATCAGAGCCAGTAGAATGAATGAATAAATAAATCCTCACATCTATGGAGCAACACAGATTGAAGTACCCAATAAATCAGGTTGTTGATATCTGAGTCTGGATTATCTACGAATATATTTGCTTCCTTACTAGGCTGCTTTTCCTGGTTCTTCTGTAGGCAACCCTGGGAAGAAAATGCCTTAAAAACCCCCAATATTTATAATATTTATTGAAATATACTCGGAGTCGAGAGTGGATTTCATGCTCTATATTCAGCTCATAGTGGTGAGGAGGAATTGAAGTTCCCCCAAAATGTCTGCTTTATATACATTATTTACACAATGGGCCCCACGTGATTGGCTCATTCCAGGATTCTCCTGTAGGCCAATCAGGTTGCGGATTCACTTCCACCTGGAGCTGGATTGGGTGGCTCCTGTGGACCAATCAGACTGCTGCATTCTGGACCCTATTGTTCTAGGACCAATCAGACTGCTGCATTCTGGATCCTATTGTTCTAGGACCAATCAGACTGCTGCATTTTGGATCCTATTCAACTCAGTACATAACATTTATGTATTACAATATGCATGTATTTGTTACAATATTTATGAAACAACATTTATCTGGGCAGTTTTCAAGCATCATCTGGGTTGTTTTGAGCTTTAAAAAGCTTAATACTTCAGCACTGGAAGAGTAGAATGTGCCACAGCATATCTATATTACAACTTGCATTAGTTTGATGCCAGTTGCAACCATCATGACTCCTCCCCCACAAAGCACCCTGGGAATTGTGGATTGGTGTGGAATCTACAGCCGGAGGAAGCTCATCTTCTATCACAGGTGTGCGGAATCTTCTTCATCCTCATTCCCTCATGGATAATCTTCTGGGTTCAGTTGACTCATTTACCAAGTATACCATCCAAAATTTATCTCTCACTTTGTTGATAAATACTGCCATGTTTCACTTTACATCTGCCGCCCACCTAACCAGGAACCTGTGTGGCTTTTCTTCTTCCAGAATTCTAGGTGAAACCTAATACTTGCAAGCATCTGGAGGAGAGTCACCCACTTCGCGATTTCCATCTTCAGATTGAGCCTAAATGTAGGCCTTCAACCTTCAACACCCAGCCTAATTTCCCCAACCTTTCCTCTGTGTAACATGGAGCATAATTATTAATTAACTAATTAAACTTATATCCTGAACTTCCTCCAAAAGGAGTCCAGGGCAGCAAACAACAAGTGATAAAATGGTCAAAACATCTTTAAAACAATTCCAATAAAGATGGATAATTGGGAAAATCTAGACTTAAAAGGCTTGGTTGTTGTTGAGCTCTGAATAACCCTAAAGTTACATTATGTTGCAATGTTTGCAAATATAGACATATACACATAAACACATGCTTGTATCCAAAGGAATCACCCCCATCGGGATGTGGTTATGAGGACTGTCACGGTACGCTCTTGCATTTCAAAATTTACCGCTACATGACGGGTAGTTGCGACTGTTTAATCTGCATTTTCTGTGAATATTATTTGCACTATTTATAGTTAACTCTATGAGCGGCAAGCTGATTTCTTCATACATTATGAGTTGCCAGTTTACACAAAAGTCTGATTTTTGCTGTGTTGTTCAACAGCTGACTTTCTTATTCTTTTTTTAAAGAGAGAGAACATTTCAGCCAACAATGTATAATCAAGCCCAGTAATTCTGTGTAAGAACAAAGCCTATTATGAGTTTCCCACCCACCATAATAACAGCTTATAACATGTGGGAAGTGGTCTCCCTAACCCCAAAATTGCATTAAAGATTGTATAGCAGTTTCATTGGTTTCTGCAGAGCTTGATCCTGCAGGATGGATGTTCAGCACTTTCTCGTTCAGATCAAAGCATTCTAGAGCTGCTTTGCATCCAAAGGAGAAAACGTTAATGACGTTTTGGAATGATGCCAAGCCAATATAGATGGTCTTCATATTCCAAACCATAGTCCTCTGGAGATTTAGTGGGCTACATTCCTTTTTATTCTGCCTATAAAGTTTCTCAGTTCTCACTTCGTCTTCTGCTGATGTAGGTACTGAGGGATCATTCTCCTCTGTTTGTATCTCATGGGGCCCCTCCAGATGGGTTTTTTATGGCAGGTGTATTCTGTGACATGTTCTTGAAACAATAATAGTGTGTTAGTGGTAGGTTTATTTTGCTTTACTTTGTTCTGTGATGCTTCCTCGGTGCTGCCACATAATTGTTGTGTGGAAAGATACAGTGCAACAGAAGTGGAACAACGCCCCACCCCCACCCCTGAACATTTGTGGTATAAAAAGTTATGGGATTTCAACAAGGATGTGCACTGATTGCCAATGAAGCAGTGTGACTGCCCCAAAACATTTGCAGGCAAAAGAGTACTGAAGGTGGAATCATATGTAACCACCCCAATAACATCAAGAGCACAAATCATCATGAATGTGCAATAAAAAGGATGTCTTCATAGGCCCATAGTTTAAAAGATCTGGTTTTGCACCATTTGTGGGGTGTTGATGTTGGTGGTGATGATCATTCTGTCAAGGTTAAGCTGTCAGAGAAGTTGAAAGGCTAAGTTTTACCACCGGTGCAACTTTTCTGACTAATGTATGGAAAAGCACATGAACCTGGCCTTTGAAGTGTTTGTAAGTAAACCATTTTTTAACTTACCAGACCAAGTGGTCTTTTTCTACGCTAGGGAAACTTTGGAAGGAACTCGCAAGGGCACATTTTAAAGGTCTATCAGCCTATGTTTTCATGCTTTACTTTGCTGCAGTTTTTGTGATTTTAAATTTATGCTTGGGTTCTCTCACCCAAGACTACTTGCCCCAAAACCTGGATCATGGGATACAAGGATTACTCCTTTTTATATGCTTATTTTCACATATAACAGCATTTACACCATTCCCAATATGAAACAACACAAAACAAAAACAAACAAACACCCAGATATCATACAGATGACTAAAATACATGGCTTATGAAATGACCTAAAGAAATAAATTAGACTGCAGGGCTAATTTTAAATTTCCAGATGGATATCTTGCTTAATTAAAACTCAACTGAACCTTGGAGCTCTCACCTGACGTTAGGTTTGGTAACTGCTGTACTTGGGAACATCAATTTCGCGTTTGATGCTAAAAGGTGTGTTGAACTCTGAATGGCAAAAACTGGGTGGGGAGGTAGTGGGGGATATTTGAAGTGGAGAAGCAACAGATTGTGTGGGGCAGGAGGGGGGTTGAGAAAGGGTTTAGCACTGGTTCCCCCCCCCAAGGGAAAACAAATACAGTCATACCTCGGGTTGAAGTAGCTTTGGGATGAATATTTTCGGGTTGCACTCTGCAGCGACCCGGAACTAACGGAGCGCGCTACTTCTGGATTTCACCGCTCAAAATGACGTCACACACATGCGCAGAAGCGGCTCTGGAACGGATCCCGTTTGCATCCAGAGGTACCACTGTAATACTTATCCACATCTGTATGCACAGTGTCCGCCATTCTCACTCTGATACCTGCATTAACCTAGGCTCCCATTGTTTACTTTTCCCCCACTGAACTGAGTGGTGATGCAATGCTTTCTCACACATTTAAAACACATATTTCAGCTTTTCCTTGTCTTGTGACTGCTGCGTGAACTGGATGACACACTTTCCCCCCCTCTTTTACTTTTTAAAAATGGTCACTGTGGCAATGAAATGATTTGCTCTTCTCCCTCCCATCTCTTACAAGTGCAAATTTGACAGAGAACATGCTTGATATTCCTCAGTGGTGAGATAAAGTGCCTCTCTATTTAAATTACAGTAATTATTTCAAAATTTATGCCTGGACATATAAATTAGCATGTGCAAAACTTAGACAAATCTGTTTCCTACTCCCTCCTCTTTTTGGGGGGGGGCGGGGGCCTCTGTGTGTGATGCAAATGGTTACCTGAGAAAGTGGCCTGCCCTGAAGGTTGAATCGATCAGTCTGAGTCTGATTATGCACCTCTGCTCGACAGCTTTCACTCATCCAGGGCAGACTGGGGAACAAATAGAATGTACCACGAAATGCATCATTGCATTTAATGCTATCATGTTCTTTTTAAAAAGCAAAAACAGCTGCAGGTGGGGAGAATCTACTGGTGTCATATGGGTAGAGGGCCTAACCTTTTCCTCTTCTGTTATGGCCACAATGAAACTGACCACCCAGTCTTGCCAGGCTGCAATTTGCATGGGGAGGAAATGTGCTCTTGTGCTGAGGTAGGGTTGCTATGCAGTGGCGTAGCGTGGGGGGTGCAGGGGGGGCTGGCCGCACCGGGCGCAACATCTGGGGGGGGCGCGCTCGCACTCGCAGCTCTCTGCCCCTACCTGGCTCACTCACTCTCTCTCACTGCAGTGCTGGCTGTGCGAATCCGATCCGAGCCACTGGGTCGCCGCCCACTGTGGAGGGGTGGGTGCCAGGCGTGCGGTGCGGAGAGAGAGCGAGGGACTATCTGGGGAGGGACAGTGCAGCGGCCGCCCAGCGCAGCGCTGAGCGCGGGGAGAACCACACCAGACCAGACCAGGCAGCAGCAAGAAGAAGCTGGCAGCGGCGGCAGGTTAGGGGTTAGGGGGCGCAAATTACTTGCCTTGCCCCGGGTTAGGGGGCGCAAATTACTTGCCTTGCCCCGGGTGCTGACAACCCACGCTACGCCGCCGTTGCTATGCTTCTGGAACTTGCACATAACCGGAATACAGTCATACCTCGGGTTAAAGTAGCTTCAGGTTGAGCGTTTTCAGGTTGCGTTCCGCAGCGACAATGAACTGAGATACAGAATGTCTTCAAATAGAGGGTTGTCCTCTTTGATGTAGGACACATAGCTACCCTTGTGGTCAAGGAGCATGGGAGCTGCTATGGAGGGCCATAGGTTCCACATCCCTGCTCAAAACAACATTTATTTTAAAAGTTAAGTTATTGGGCAACTCAGCGTTATTACCTCAAAACAATATTTCAGTGTTTTGGGGAATATTTGCTGCTGCTGCTGTTTGTTTCCAGCTTAATGCTGCTGTGCGTAGATGCTCAGCTGCTGTCCTTGCATGGCTACAGTTCATGCCTTGTGCTTTCTTGTAATGTTCTCATGTCTGCGCCTGAACCACAACTGCTTTTTCTTTCTTTCTGTTTAACACCAAGGACGTGCCAAAGGGCTGCACCGCTCTCATTTCTTGCTTTTACTAGAGCTGAGCGTAACCTTCAAAATGTTTGCCACTAGCTGACAGAATATAAGCTTTCTTGTTTGGCTACAGAATCAGCAGTTTTGCTAAAAAGAGGAAAAAACCCTACACAATGCAAGTTTGAAATTCCAAATGTTGCAGTGTTTTGTAGTAAGACTTTAATGGCACAGCTACATGCACAGACTACACGGAAATCATTGTAGGTGGGTTGTAATGGACGAAACAGGTAGGGAAATAACAAGACGAAAAAGGTTTCAACCCCCCCCCCAACAACCTCACAGTGTTTTGAGTCAGATCTCTTACAAAAGCAGCCCAAGTAAGGCCAGGATCCAGAAAGGCACGAGAAAGGGTTAACATAAGCCTGAACTGTGGTGCACATAAAAAAATCTTGACAGCTTAATTGCTGTGTTGACAGAGCTTGCTGTTTTGCAGCTGATGGTATTTTCCTCTTCAAAGTTTTGTACCGCATTACAGAAGAGGCCCAGGCTCAGAGACACACCCTCTTAATACACCTGCTGGCAGACAGGATGTGTGTAGGTGGCTCAGTCAGAGAGGCCCCGGGAACAAAGAGTAACAGGTTGAAGAAAAACCAGGCAGATACTCCCAATTTAACAGCCCTTGAGATTTTGGGGACAGGGATCAAGCACAGTTTGAGAGCCATCGAGAGTCAAGGCTATGAACTGACCTCTTGTGACCATCAATTGCTGTTGCCATATCCTCCAACATTTCTCTGATGAAAATAGGGACGTCCCATTCCATAATGATATTTTTACTAATTATACTCCACACATCTTACTGGGTTGCTCCAGCCACTCTGGGCAGCTGCCAACATATATAAAAACATAATGAAACATGAAACTTCCCTATACAGGATTGCCTTTAGAAGGCTCGGGGGTTGGATAACTCCATACCCTCCAACATTTCTCTAATGAGAATAGAGACATCCTAAGGAAAAGTGGGACATTCCGGGATCAAATGAGAAACTGAGACAGCTTCTCTAAATCAGGGATGTCCCTGGAAAATAGGGACACCTGGAAGGCTTGCTGTTGTAGACTTTATAAAGCTAGGACAAGGACATGGGAAGGAGGTTAGCTGCTCCCAAGATTAGCCAGGAGGGCCTGAGTTCTCCCCTCAGGGATGATCAGACCCCTGCAAAAACATGTTGCTGTTGTCATGAACAATTGATATTGAAGAGGGCAAATGCAAGCTTTTTTCCTAGGGCTCCAGAACCACATGTATTTGCTGTGCCTTGGGAAGAGAGCTTAGTTGTGGAATGAACAAGGAATGAATTAATGCATCTTGGAATGTAGCTAATATTTGGGATATGAATGGAAAAGACAAGCTGCAGAACTGTGCCAGACAAGGAATCCCTGGGCTGACGTACGCAAACCAACCTGGCTGGGATGGCACATACCCCCCAACAATTCTCCAATGAAAACAGGGACATCCTACCATACCCTCCAACATTTCTCTCTTGAAAATAGGGACGTCCTAAAGAAAAGTGAGACATTCCAGGATCAAATCAGAAACCGGGACTGCTTCTGTAAATCTGGGACTGTCCCTGGAAAACAGGGACACCTGGATGGTCTGGGAAAGTTAAGAGCAAAACCATTAGCAGGCAAAGGTGTGGATTGCTGGTCATTATCACATCAAAGGAAGGGTCCTTGGGTCTGTGAAAAACAGGGGTTGCGAAAGTGATGGGTGTGATATGACAGGGAAAAGTGTTTTTACAAGAGCCTTGGGTTTGGGGTCAGTGTTGGGAAGAAGAAGAACAAAGGCCAGAACCATCTTGGCTGCTGGCTGGGGAGGCTGCAACCCAGAGACTGGGGGGAGCATAGCTGCTCTGGACTCAAGAAGCCAGAAGAGACAGCCTAGAGATATAATGCTCCTTGTATAGATCCAGGTGTAAAGGTAAAGGTAAAGGGACCCCTGACCATTAGGTCCAGTCGTGGCTGACTCTGGGGTTGCAGCGCTCATCTCGCTTTATTGGCCGAGGGAGCCTGCGTACAGCTTCCGGGTCATGTGGCCAGCATGACTAAGCCACTTCTGGTGAACCAGAGCAGCGCACAGAAACGCCATTTACCTTCCCGCCGGAGCGGTACCTATTTATCTACTTGCGCTTTGACATGCTTTTGAACTGCTAGGTTGGCAGGAGCAGGGACCGAGCAACGGGAGCTCAACCCGTCGCGGGGATTCAAACTGCCGACCTTCTGATTGGCAAGTCCTAGGCTCTGTGGTTTAACCCACAGCGCCACCCGCGTCCTTGAGCCAGGTGCAGATATTTGCAAAATAAACCATATATCTTAAAGCACTACAGCCTTTACCATGCCCTGAGTTCACAACTGGGTTCAGAAACTGGGTAAGCTGCCCGGCGCCACTAGACTCTTGCTACTGCTCAGGGCAGATTTTGGGGTGCCGTGTAACAATGCACATGGCCCTCCAGAGGGACAGAACAAGGGGAGTAGAGGATCTTTCACATTTCCTCATTGCTTACGTGCTTGGGGAAGGCAGCAGAATAGGCATCAACAGCCAAGTGCTGGAGGAAACGTTCAGTGACCGTGGGCTCCCACTGGAATGCAGACAAGTGCCCAGCAATGCTATGCCTGGCCCCAGCCTGGGAGTCAGAGTTGAGGTTGAGAGTGATGCAAAGAGACTGAGCTTCCTAGCCCTTCTACTGTTCTGTAACATGTTTAAATTGTGTCTTTTTAGTTTGGTTGTAATCCTTAACTTTTCTTTGTTTGTTTTGTTTTTTAATTTTTTTGTTATATACAAAAAGTTTACATAGTACAGTGGTACCACGGGTTACATACGCTTCAGGTTACATACGCTAACCCAGAAATAGTGCTTCAGGGTCAAGAACTTTGCTTCAGGATGAGAACAGAAATCGTGCTCCGGCGGCGAGGCGGCAGCAGGAGGCCCCCTTAGCTAAAGTGGTGCTTCAGGTTATGAACAGTTTCAGGTTAAGAATGGACCTCCGGAACAAATTAAGTACTTAACCCAAGGTACCACTGTATTACATGTACATTATACTTGTAAATTCACTTGTTGTTTAGTTGTAATCCTTAACTTTTAATTTAATATTGGACTGCTTCCCCCTCCCTCCCTTCCCCCCCTCTTTTACAGAAACAACATTTCCAAGGTCCCTGAATAACAGAAGACTGGCGTGGAAAAGAAAGGATACTTCGTTCAACATTGTGCAACAGTTCTTTACATCAGTATAAAATGGGCTCTGACTTCAGGCTTCCTTTCCATACCGGGTGTTCACCGCAAATCCTCCCCTATCTGCCGTCATTCCTATCTCGTTTGAATCATGGCTTTGTGTCATTACATGTGTTTTGCATTCAAGGATTCAAGGATACCCACGATATACAACAAGGCCGCCGTCAAGGAGGGAGTGCAAAGCTGATAGCGGAAACAAATCTGGGAGATAACCAGAGCATTGTACAGAGTGGCCAAATACTTAGGGCTGACATTTGCGCAGGACTGTTCAACATCTGGGGCAATCCTCGTTCTGAGCACATAACGTTGTGGCTTCTGAGTGCTCAGCTTTGAAGTTCTTTATTATTATTATTTTTAAAAAGTTTTTATTAACAATTTCAGCATAACAGATTATCAAAACATATCATATTCATTATTTTCCCCCTTCCCCCTCCAACCCCCCCCCGAGACTTCCCTCAGCTCCTCTCTCTGGTTTCTCAGCACATATTATTCTCTGCACGTTATAAAATTATACATATCCTTACATTATCTATCTACCATGTTATCAACTAATAAATTTGTATATGTTTATTCAAAACCTGCCAAGGAGTCCAATTCATTTTGTTGTCTTTTTAGATAAATTGTAAAAAGCTCCCATTCTTCCTTAAAGTCACAGTTGTCCATGTCCCGCAATTTGTATGTCAATTTAGCCAACTCTGCATGGCTCATCAATTTTTCTTGCCACTGTTCTTTCATTGGGATTTCCTTATTCTTCCATCCTTGTGCTATCAAGACTCTTGCTGCTGCTGTTGTAGCATACATAAATAAGTTCTTTGAAGAAGTTCTTTATTTTTAAGCAGGACTGGGACCAAGAGGGGGCTCCTTCAAATAGAGGACTGTCCTCTTTAAAGCAGCCTGTCCACTCGGTGGCCCTCTGCAAGCCACTGTATATAAGGTCTAGCCACCACAATACGGGGCAATAATGCCAGATCATGTTGTGGACAGTAGTAAGGGCAGAAGCAGGGAGGTGTGTGGATCCTGTCCACCCATGCCTATGCCTCCACATATTGAATGTGAACCACACTGGACACACACAAGAATAGCTTCATTGGTTAGATCTTGGTCTGATAACACCAAGGTTGCAGGTTCAGTCCCTGTCTGGGGCAGCTGTGTATTCCTGCCTTGCAGGGGGTTGGCCTAGATGACCCTCAGGGTCCCTTCCAATGGTTCTGTGATTCTAAGCGCAATAAGAAACACACAGTATTACAAAGCCACTCATGCCTTTGCTATTGCTTTTTGGAGTCCCCCTGCTGGCCAGAAAGTGCCTGGCCAAGTTCTCGGGCTGGCAATCTGCCAAGACGTTACCACCAGATTCCTTTCTGAAGAGTTACCATAAATATTTGCATGACATGAGTGGAACACCACAACGTGCTTTCTTACCACTTCACCACTGAATAATGGGTGAATAGTGGGAGGACGGAAACCACATAGTGAGTACTATCGAATCATGGCATTTAACAAAGAAAAAATAATAATTAAAAGGTGGGAGAGTTGGCTAGCTTGTGAATTAGCAAAGGCACTTATTTCTAAGAGCCTCTTTCTGTAGGCACCCCCCCCTTCCACCCCGTTTTGTTTATACAATTCAACTGACATCCAGTAACCTTCTTACCATCTTGCATAAGCTGATATGCCTTCCCTGCCCCACTTGGGACTTTCAAGCGCTGCTGCTGTAGAGCTATGCCTGGTGTAGAAAATGTCTTTGCATCCCTAATATCAGCACACACCAGTTGGGGTGTAGAAAATTAAGTTTAATGAGTATAATTGAGATTCGGGTGGAAACGTAGCTCTTTCTCCAAGAAGCTAATTTTTCCAAAAAAAGAAAAGAAGAGTGAACTTGCTCTGAATTTTTTGTCTTGTGTTTTGGTTAATTAATTCACCTTCTTGGAAGGAAAAGGAAAAGGAAAGAAACACGGCAAAACATTTGCAAGACCGCTTAGAAATTCATACCTAAACTTTCAAGGAGATGCTAGCTTTTCCACAGCTTCTCCTTCCACTCTCTCACACTCCACACAACATAGGCACCAACTTCTAGGGGCTGAGCTCCCTTCGGCCTACCCTAATAAAATATTTGAGGGGGCTGGGCCCCCCAAAGTTGATGGGCAGTGCCATTCAAATGGTGTGTGCACCCCGTGTCATGTGATCAATTACGCATGGTGGGGCTTACCTGCCCCAAATATTTAATACAATTTGGCACGCCTGGAACACAGTGAGCAAGGCTTGTGGCACTATTTTTCACCACTGCTGCACATCTTTCACTACAGGTTCAAGATCTACATTTCAGAACAGGACAGAGCTGCCATAAGTCCGGAATCTCCCGAGCATATTTGGGAAATTTTGAAAATTGGTTAAATAATGAAAGGTTAAAACCTGGGCCAACGATAACCTATTTTGAAAGTGTTGATTTTTTAAAAACCAAATTTCCTTTAAAATAGCTTAAAATTTGGATATTTTGCACCCGCGCGTACACACACACAAAGCTCAACAACATTTTTACTTCTTGAAATATTGCAACCCTAGAACAGGATAATCAGGGAAGACATAACTGGTGGATTTATGAGGCTTTTTCACACATTATACTGAACACAGGTACAAGCAGTCTTTGCATATGTGAAAGAGTGTGCACACATTAGTATGTACAGCTCAACTAGTGCACACACAGGCACACAGCCTGTTGAGTTTTACGTGTGAATAAGTGTACGAGCATCTTCCTAGACTGTTTGTGCACACAGGTACAGGACTGGACACTCGTTGAATGTTACCATGTGAACATTCCTGCAGTATATGCTGCTGCTGCTGGAATTTTTAGGGCATGTTTAAGTACATCGTGCCAAGTTTAGCTATTGTTTTATGAAATAAGAACATAAAAAGAGCCCTGCGGGATCAGACCTAAGGTTACCAGACGTCCCCGTTTCCTGGGAACAGTCCCCGGATTTACACATCAGTCCCCATACAAAATCCATTGAAGTTGAAAAGTGTTCCTGGATTCATTGAAAAAAATATCTGGTAACCTTAATCCAGTCCCTGTTCTCACTCTGGCGAACAAGAAACCCATAGGAAGCTCACAAGCAGAGCACTAACATCCTCTTATCAATGTTCTATTGGAACTGGAATTCGGGGACATACTGCTTTGATATACCCATCATCACGGGCATTTAATGCAGAGCCAGGCAGGGAGGGTATTCCTAGCCATGACCGTAGCCAGGGGGCAGCTACTTCCCCCCTAAATCAAGTAAATAAATAAGTAAAAGTACTTAACTAACTGACCAATTGCATCACATATAACTGGTTTTCCCAGTAGTGATGTATGAAAGTGAGAGCTGGACCATAAAGAAGGCTGATCGCCAAAGAATTGATGCTTTTGAATTATGGTGCTGGAGGAGACTCTTGAGAGTCCCATGGGCTGCAAGAAGATCAAACCTCTCCATTCTGAAGGAAATCAGCCCTGAGTGCTCACTGGAAGGACAGATCGTGAAGCTGAGGCTCCAATACTTTGGCCACCTCATGAGAAGAGAAGACTCCCTGGAAAAGACCCTGATGTTGGGAAAGATGGAGGGCACAAAGAGAAGGGGACGTCAGAGGACGGGATGGTTGGACAGTGTTCTCGAAGCTACCAGCATGAGTTTGACCAAACTGCGGGAGGCAGTGGAAGACAGGAGTGCCTGGCATGCTCTGGTCCATGGGGTCACGAAGAGTCGGACACAACTAAACGACTACAGCATAACTCGGTTCTGCCCCTCCAACATAAAGCCTGCCCCCCTATACATCCTGGCTACACTCACGTTCCTAGCTCTTCCTGGCTGAGATCCTTTTAAGTGGATATGTCAGGCAGCGAATCTAGGACCTCTTCCTGCAAACCAGGCACTAAGAACGTAAGAATAGTGCTGGGTAATCAGGGCAGCCTGGGATAATGGACGATGTGAAGTAAGGTCAATTAGGGATTTGGCCTGGGGAGAGGGGTGAACGGGGAGAGTCCCTAGGACCAGACAGAGATGCCATACATGTGGGTAAGACTAGCATTGGTCTTCAGTTGTCATCATCATTATTAAGCCAGTTTATTGGGAAGGAGATGTTCAAGAAATGCATGCAAGATAAGGATGATTTAGCTACACATTAGCAGTTGTGCATGGAAATGGACATGGCCTGAACATAAGGCTTCCAAGTGGTACAGAGAATCACCTGGGCTCCCCCTAAGCTCACCTGTCCCTATCCCAATTAATACCCTTAGTTTCTGTTTTGAGTTTTAATTGTGTTTTCTTATTCTCAGCCCTTTAATCCTAGTTCACACGGGCACGTTTGTTTCACTCCTGAAGTTTTGCTTACCGCAGGCACTTTTTTAAAAAAAGCACCTGGTTTGCATACTGCTGATCCACATGGATGTAATAAGTGGGTGATTACATTATTTGAAGTTAACCTGACACCGAGAATGCTGAGCATGTGATAAATCGAGAGGCAGATAAATAGACAAAAATATGTAGGTAGACAGAGCTGACACAGAGCTTTGAGCATTGCTCCACCTTAGATCAGGCTGCACGGACTGCCATAATTATGTAGAAGAAGAACAATACAAATGCAAGTTGTTCATGACTTTCGGCTGTCTTCAGTTGCAGCAGTTTTTCTTGCCCCACTTCCAAATACTTTGTCCATTAATATTGACCCTTCTTCTCTATCACACCACAGTCATGGCCTCCCCCAAAGAATCCTGGGAACTGTATTTTGTTAAGGGTGCTGAGAGTTGTCAGGAGACCCCTCTTGACGGGGTGAGCTCCCGTTGCTGGGTCCCTGCTCCTGCCAACCTAGCAGTTCGAAAGCACATCAAGTGCAAGTAGATAAATAGGTACCGCTCCGGGGGGAAGGTAAACGGAGTTTCCGTGCGCTGCTCTGGTTCGCCAGAAGCGGCTTAGTCATGCTGGCCACATGACCTGGAAAAACTGTCTGTGGACAAACGCCGGCTCCCTCGGCCAGTAAAGCGAGATGAGCGCCTCAACCCCAGAGTCGGCCACGACTGGACCTAATGGTCAGGGGTCCCTTTACC